TAAATACTAAATTTTGTGTGTCTGTTGAAATGTTTAAAATGGAAGAATAAGGAATCTTTAAAAAAACAAAACAAAAAAACACCCAGCTTGGAATGAAAATAAGCTTGTGCTGCACTCCAAGTACCTTACTACTTTGTAAAACAAATAACCAGTGCACTCCTTTGTATGTAAATGAGATAGAAATTATAAACATAGAAAGTTAGACCTTGTATAGATCAAAAGAGGAGGAAACAGGAAATTAAAAGTCTTTGAATTAACTTGGAAAATGAAATTAATGTAGATAGATCATCAGTGACTCTTTTTTCCTTCCTTCTTTCCTCCTTTTTTTTTTCATTTTTTTTCATTTTTTTTTCTTTTTTTTTTTTTTTTTTTTTTCAGGATGCCACTGTGAATGTTTTATTTTTTCCAGGGAAGTAGAGTTCGCTTTGAGAGTTCTAGCCTGTGAGCTCTGTATGCAAATGTGGTCATCAAGCAAGCCTGGCCTACCAAGAGGGAAGATTTGGAATGTTTCAATTTCTTAAAACCCTTCAGAGCATCCTTCCTCCTGTGGTACTTTATTCAAAGTTTTTCCCTTCCCAGAATTGTTGAAAATGGCTCCAAAGCAACAGTGCAATAGCTCAACCGATTGCACTATGAAGTTGTTGAGATGACATTTTATTGGAATCTTTTGTAAAAATTAGATTTTAAGTAGGGTGATTGTCCTTTTAGAAGAGGGGACAAGAACGAGTAGAAGCAAGTGTGTCGGGGGGAGGGGGGAGGAGGAGTGGGGAGGACCAAGCTGTTCATATAAGTGTATATACTCTTTGTGTTGGAAGGCCTCTGTGTCTTGGCTTCTCACTATGTTAAATCCCTATTATAAAACTTATCTGCACAAAGCCTATTATAGTATTCTGAGAACAAATTGGACCATGAATAACTGAGTTGGAAGTGTAGATTATTTCCTACTCAGGGAAAGTTAGAGATGACAACGGCTTAACTAAAAGAATAGCGATTAATCTCAAATAGATGGATTTCAAAGTTTCGTTCTTGATAAAGAGTACCTTTGATATTTCCCCTCTTCACACTCAAGTTTCCAGTTTCTTTGTGCTGAGAATTGTCCTGGTGATTACACTGTCCACCTCATACAGCACGGCTCTAACGGTAGACCGTTTCCTTCCACATTGTTAACCTGTCAGAGAGGAGGCCAGAAGGACACTCCACTTCCTAGAGGTTAAAAGGATGGTTCCAAAGTGGAACCTGGGCTTAGATGTCAGATTCATGCTTAGGAATGATATCTTACATAATCCTAATTTCTCAATTAGATAAAGTTATTATTTTTTAATCTTAATTTGTTTACTTCCCTATAGCTTGCAAAGAACTTCTCAGCTCATAATTTTGTTGTATCAATAGAATAATGTTTATAAAATAAATATCATTCATCCCATTTTGCCAATGAAAAAGCTGAGTTATTTTCATATTGTGATCTGGTTGACAAATGGGAGAACTGGAACACCAACTCAGATTTTAAAAAGATTCTGTTTCAAGTGTTTAACCTGTAACAATAGTCCTTAAAATTATTTTTTTGTGTATTACATACCTGAAAATGAAGATTTTTTATTAAAAAGCAAAAGTCTTTATATTTCACAGACAAAGAAGTTAAAAAACGTAACTGAAAAAAATTATATTCACTTAAAAGTGAATTTTGTCAACTATTGTTTTCCTTTGTGTATATACATATATTTCAATAGTCTTTCCTAGTTGAATATATTAATTTCTAAAAGTCAAATATGGACAGCCCTATATACATTAACTAACTACTTGGAATTTTTAATGTACACGAGAACTGTAGACTATATGTTTCAAAATAAAATATAACAATAAATAAGCCTTTAGAAGCAGATTCTGCAAGTTAAGTAATTATTTGAGAACATGCAATTGATTTTTATAGAGTGCAATGGGTGAAATTTTCCTTTTAGTGTTTTCTCCCCCAGATATATTGAGGTATAATTGGCAAATAAAATAGTAAGATTCTTAAAATGTACATCATTTTGATTTAATACTCATATACATTGTGAAAGCACTTCTCCCTTGGAGTTAATTAACCCATCTATCACTTCCATATTTGTGTGAGTGGGAATATTTAAGTTCTAGTCTCAACAAATTTCAATTATTTAACACAGTCTTATCAACCATAGTCACCATGTTTTAACTTAGATCCTCAGACCTTACTCATCTTATAGCTGAAAGTTTGTACTCTTCCCAACTTTCTCACTTCCCAGCCCTGCCCTACTAGTTTTTAGGCTGGTATCTTTATAAGTTTGGGTAAACAAAGTTGTATAAAACTACTTTTTTGTCTCTTGGGTTTTTACTCTCAATGTTAAAATATAGTTTTCGAAATACTCTAAAAAGGTTTAGTTAACCTGATATTGATGTAATCTACATAAACATACAGAAATCAAGAAATACAAAAAGATAGCACAATGTGATTCTCTTAGGTTTTTCATTACATTATTTTAATTGTATGTAATGTAGGTTGTGTGGATGTTAATGTGGAAATTCTAAGCTTTTTATTTCTTAAATTGTATAGAATGAAACTAGTCATTTTATATATACTAAAATTAAGGCTTTTGACCCTGAAATGCTGGCAGCCAGACAAATCCGATCAAGCTTTTTCGGATTAGAAAAAAATGAAAGAGTCTAGAAAAGGAAAGTCAACTGCTCTGGTTGGAAGTTGCATCTGTGAGGTTGTATCAATAGTGACATATATCTTGACAATTTTTTGTGCTCAGGTTTTTCAATTACAATATGACATTAGACTGAGATTCTTGATTTTGATTTGGAGGCAAATGATCAAGCCAAAAATTCAAACTTCTAGGGTCTTCTCTACTAATTGTCAAATTAAGAAATGCAGAGCCCTGGCTGGGTAGCTCATTTGGGTCAAGTATCATCTGGATCTGCCGAGATTATGAGTTTGCTTTCCAATCAGGGAAAATACAAGAAGCAAATAAGTGGAACAACAAATCTCTCTCTCTCTCTCTCTCTCTCTCTCTCTCTCTCTCTCTCTCTCTCTCTCTCTCAAATTAATTCAAAATAAATAAAGAAATGCAAAAATAAGGACTTACATTAACATTGATATGTTTGTTTAGATGCTCTGAAATTTTCTTTTTACTACTAACTGCATTCATTTTGTTTATGTGTGTGTGTTTTTATGGTGGGTTTTATTGTTGTTTAAGATTTTTTTTTTTATTGATTTCTAGAGAGAGGAGAGAGAAACATGGATGTGAGAGTAAAACATCAATCAGCTGCTTCTTTCATGCCCCTGACCTCATAACCTGGGCATGTGCCCCAACCAGGAATTGAACCAGCAACCCTTCAGTGCTCGAGACAATGCTCAAACAACTATGCCACACCAGCCAGGGCCATGTATGTTTTAGTAGGTGGCAAAGAATGTTTGTTTATTTCATTCTTTCTTTTTTTTCTTCACTTCCTCCCTCTCTTCCTTCCTTCTTTCCCTCATTTTCTCCTTCCCCTTCTTCCTGAGATTTTTAGGTAGTTTTTTTTTTTTAATGTATTATGCTAAACTGATATGCTACACACCCACAAAAAACAAAAACAAAAAAACACTCACTTCAGTTAAACTTAAAACAAGTCAGAGAACCCGCAAGTATAAGACTTCTCAACAACCAAAATCCAATCCTGAGGTATCAACTTTTCTTTTAATTTACATTTTTAAATTCTTTTTTCTTTTACTTTTTTCTATCATCATTTATCTCTTCTATACTCTCAGGCATCAACTTTTTTATTTTATTTTTTTCTTTGTTAAGGTATTATACATGTGTCCTTATCCCCCATTGCCCCCTACACCCTACTCTCCCTCATGCCTTCACCCCGCTGGTATCTGTGTCCATTGGCTAGGCTTATATGCATGCATACAAGTCCTTTGGTTGATCTCTCCCCCTTATTCCTACCCTCTCCTGCCTTCCCTCTGAAGTTTGATGGTTTGATCCATGCTTCTCTGTCTCTGGATCTGTTTTTGTTCATCAGTTTATGTTGTTCATTATATTCCACAAATGAGTGAGATCATGTGATATATATCTCTCACTGGTTTATTTCACTTAGCATAATGCTCTCCAGTTCCATCCATGCTGTTGCAAATGGTAAGAATTCTTTCTATTTTACCTCAGTGTAGTATTCCATTGTGTAGATGTACCACTGTTTTTTAATCCACTCATCTGCTGATGGGCACAGGCTGTTTCCAAATCTTAACTATGGTAAATTCTGCTGCTATGAACATAGGAATGCATATATCCTTTCTGATTGGTGTTTCTAGTTTCTTGGGATATATTTCTAGAAGTGGGGTCACTGGGTCAAATAGGAGTTCCATTTTTAGTTTTTTGAGAAAACTCCACACTGTTCTCCACTGTGGCTGCACCAGTCTGCATTCCCACTAGCAGTGAAGGAGGGTTCCTTTTTTTCCACATCCTTGCCAGCACTTGTGGTTTGTTGGTTTGTTGATGATAGCCATTCTGACAGGTGTGAGATAGTATCTCGCTGTTGTTTTGATTTGCATCTCTCGGATGATTAGTGACTTGAGCAGGTTTTTATGTCTCTTGGCCTTCTTTCTGTCCTCTTTTGAAAATTATCTATTTAAGTTCATTGCCCATTTTTTGATTGGGCTGTTTATCTTCCTTTTGTTAAGTTGTATGAGTTCCCTGTAAATGTTAGATATTAAACCCTTATCGGTGATAACATTAGCAAATATGTCCTCCCATGCAGTGGGCTTTCTTGTTGTTTTGTTGGTGGATTCTTTTGCTGAATAGAAGCTTTTTATTTTGATGTAGTCCCATTTATTTATTTTCTTGTTAGTTTCCATTGATCTAGGAACTGTATCGGTGAAGAAATTGCTTCAGTATATGTCTGAGATTTTGCTGCCTGTGGATTCCTCTAATATTTTTATGGTTTTCAGGGATCAACTTTTAATGTAACAGATTCTGGCAATTTTCCTTTTGTTGTCTTTATAGGTCATCTAAACTCTTGGTTATTTTTCATGTAAACTTCTTATATTGTGAAAGAAGAAAAAGAAGAGGAGAGGAGCAGGAAGAAGAGAAATTATTTTAGAAATCTGAAAAGAAATGTCAATTGCTACATATAACTTGTATGTAAGTACATGGAAGCATCATGTTAGCAGGAAAGGATAAAGATCAATGATTCTTCATTTTTCTTTAAGTCCCCCCTGCCCGATACATTGTCATATCAAAGATGTTTTCTTTCCCTACTTGATTTGGCTTAATGGATAGAGCGTTGGCCTACAGACTTACGGGTCCCAGGTTTGATTCCAGTCAAGGGCTCATGCCTGTGTTGCAGACTTAATCCCCAGAGTGGGGCATGTAGGAGGCAGCTGATCAATGATTCTCTCTTATCATTGATGATTCTCTCTCTCTCCCTTTCCCTTCCTCTCTAAAATCAATTTTTAAAAAAGTTATCCCTTAAAAGTACACAAACAAACAAACAAACAAACAAAGATTTTTTTTTCTCTCTCTCCTGAAGCTATTATAAGTGTGGAATGATTAATATAAATTTGGCAAAATAGAACTTCAAATAGTACAATAATTTTTCTTAATGAAGTTTTTAAGTAAATCAACCATGCATAAATATTTTTTATTCTTTTGAAAGGAAAAGTATATATCAATGTCTATTTAGGAAATTACAATGCATAGTGAAAAATTTAGTCAACTATTTTGGTATATTTTCTACAATATTAGATTTTTCTTTGTTCCTCTATCTGGTGACTATATCAGGTATATTTGAGTGCAGATAGATACATTTCATGATTACAGGACTTAATATATTTAATATACAAGAGTTGTGCTATTTGTGTTGAGTATTGTTGACAATTGTCGAAAGAGCACAATTGGCTACCTCCATAGTAGGTCTGAGGCATTCCTTCAAGTTCTACAAAGATGAAAAGACCAAATCCCTGCCATCCTGGAATTTCGTGCTAGGTCTTAGGAAGAAGTAGAGATTGGGATTAAAAAATACAATAAGATTTGAGATTTGGGCCCAGCTCCTCAGAAAAGAGAAATTAGCATGTACACAAATGTCTCTTCAGAATAAACTCTGGTAAAGGTATGAACAAGTAGCTAGGAAAATATGGAATAGCCTGGAGAAGCTTGTTGGAGAAAATAAGACTTGAAGAATGGCTAGGATTCTGATAGACACATATGGGACCATATTCCAGGTGGAAGCAGAAATAGAGAAGTGAAATTGTATAGTGATACTCAGAGCTCTGGTGTGGGGCTTTGCTGGGACAGGTGACTTTCCTCCAACTGACCTCCACTTCTGGCTCCTCAAAACCGTGGGTGGGCAGTATGAAGTTTTTCCATTTCTCAGTGACCAGATTGTGAATATTTCCAAATAGGCTTTATATTATTAATGTTACTGTGGTTCTTCGTTTTGAAATAAAAATTCTGAATGTAAAAAAAGAAATTGTATAGTGTACCATCGAAAATTATTTAATGGACTTAAAAGGAAGTTTCTAGAATAACACAAAATGGGGCCTAACATTGTCTATTTTAATAGGCAATCCAATAATTTTATTCACTCAGGAAATACTGTCATTATAAGTGCCATGAGAATATTTTACTAGTAATAAAAAATCTTCTTTTAAAGATAGTTAAAATTCAATAAAGAGAAAAGTAAGTGTGAGAAATGTAGTGTTTCTCATACTAGATTATTCCTGGATCTGGGTACCTCTGTGTTTCTCAGTATCTTCATCTAGAAATCTATTTCTCATATTTATTAAATAACATTTCAATTATTAAAATGAAGACTCTTGTGGAAAATTAGTCATTCTTTTTCAAAGATAACCCGTGGGTCACTTTTTTTTTTTTTCTTTTTTCTTCTTTTTTATTCATGAGTCACTTCTTATGTGTCACTTGCTCCAGGGGTCCATTATAGAGTTACAAATAATGACTGCATCTTTAAAATGTACTTTTAAGTGAATAGAAAATGTCAATTTTAAATTTTGCTATTCATTCTACATTTATGTTTATGCAAGTAAATGAAAATCTAGAAATATATTTAAAAGCCCATAGAGATATTCTGAAATCAGAAATTATCAGCCAATTGTATGAACAACCTCAGAATTTCTTATTAAAAAAGACATAAAAGGCAAATAATCAGGGAATAAAGGCACCCTGTGTAAATTCTAGCAGCATCAGAGTCATCCTGTAATAATCAAAATAGTAAACTCATACAAAAGTATTTTTTTCTTAAAATTTTTTCCAAATATATTTTATTGATTTTGTACAGAGAGGAAGGGGGAGTGAGAGTTAGAAACATAAATGAAAAAGAAACATCTATCAGCTGCCTCCTGCACACTTTCTACTGGGTATGTGCCTGCAACCAAGGTACATGCCCTTGGCCAGAATTGAACATGGGACCCTTGAGTCCTTAGGCTGATGCTCTATCCACTGAGCCAAACTATTTAGGGCTTGTACAAAAGTTTTTGGTGATGTAGAGCACAAGAATCCAGTGATAGAGTGTTTGTTCTAAGTGTCAATTTTTCTAATATGAAACTTCAAGTCAAGTGGAAACTAAATCCTAACTCTAAAGCTCAGAAATACAGGCCCAAGGACTATTTTACAGGGGAAATGGGTTGAAATGTATTGAACATCAAATTAGAGGGAAATATGAGCAAATAATGTGGATGGATGGAAGTGTTTGCAAGGGTAAAAGAAACACTCCTTCTTATCTGTGGCTGGTTAAGCATGTTGGATAAAGCACTGGTTAGCTGTCTGGAACCATATCTTTAATTTCAGTTTGCTCTATTATAATACATAGTCTCAAACTGTTGCCCTGACCTAATAGAAGTCTTTCAATTATAGGTTCTTTCCAGTAAATAAATAGAACTTTTGAGTGCTCATGGAGATATTGTAGGTGTTATTGAAAGAGAAAGGTGTTAAAATTAAAAGGAAAAGATGTCATGCCTTCTGCTCTCAAAGATAAGAACAATATTCATATTTAAGGCTCCACCCAAAGCAAATTATTGACATTGCTTTCAGCACCCACTTAAGGACAACTCATTTTTAAAGCTTTTCTTTTATAACTCTTGCAGCTGTATATTAGATATCCCCAGCACCAGTGAGTATGGCACTGCAAACAATACAAACGTTTATAGAAGCAGAAGTGAAAGTGATATGTAGAATAAAAAGAGAAAGTGCTCTTTATCAGTTCCCCAGAAGTATACGTATATCCTTCCAGATCTTACATAAAAAGAAAGATGTTTAGAAGGATGAAAAGATAGATAGATAGATAGATAGATAGATAGATGATAGATACCCTGTTTCCTCGAAAATAAGACAAGTGTGTTAAATTAATTTTTTCTCCCAAAGTTGTGCTAGGTCTTATTTTCAGGGGATGTCTTATCTTTCCATGCACTAGGTCTTATTTTCGGAGGATGTCTTATTTTCGGGGAAACACAGTAGATGATAAAATGTATACTAGTTAAGAACATAGACTCTGAGCCTGGCCAGTGTGGCCCATTGGTTGAGCGTCGACCTATGAACCCAGAGGTCACAGTTCAATTCCTGGGCTGTAGGCTCAGTCCCCCCGCCCCCATGAAAGGTCCCAAGTTCAATTCTGGTCAAGGGCATGTATCTTGGTTTCAGGCACATCCCCAGTAGGAGGTGTGCAGGAGGCAGCTGGTCGATGTTTTTCTCTCATCGATGTTTCTAACTCTCTATCTCTCACCCTTCCTCTCTGTAAAAAATCAATAAAATATATATATATATTTTTAAAAAAAAGAAATAAGAATTAGGCAACTGCATGTTTATGTAGTTGCCTAATTCTTATTTCTTTTTTTTATGTGCATCCAAAGGGGACATAGGTCAAGAAAAAAAAATGTGCTAAAAGATGAAATAAAATAGTAAGCCTGGCACTGTCCTATGTTTTAAAGAGAATATTAAAATCATGACACCAGCCGAGACCGGTTTGGCTCAATGGATAGAGCATCGGCTTGGGGACTGAAAGGTCCCGGGTTCGATTCCGGTCAAGGGCATGTACCTTGGTTGTGGGCACATCCCCAGTAGGGGGTGTGCAAGAGGCAGCTGGTCAATGACTCATCGATGTTTCTATCTCTCTATCTCTCTCCCTTCCTCTCTGTACAAAATCAATAAAATATATTAAAAAAAAATAAATAATAAAAAAATAAAATCATGACACCAATCTTAGATGCTTAAAATGGTTTGAAGTCAGGATACATCATACATGGTGGTAGAAGGGGAAATAAGGAATTAACTCTGATCTGGCTCTGTTAAGACTGATATTTATGCTCTCCTATACCTACACTCTCTAATTCTGCCACATTCTATTAAGTAGTATTAAGATAATAAAAATTTCACAAACTACAAATATATATATATATATATATATATATATATATATATATATATATATATAAAAGTCAATTGAATTGACTTTAAGTTATTGTATCTCAGGACATATAATTCTTTTATATTCAGTGACACTTCAGCCAAGTATAGTCCTCTCTCTTTCAGACAAGAGACTACTGTACAATGGCTTCAAAATGGGCAGGACTCATTGTGGGAATAGCTTTTCAATAACCTGTGTTTCTAATTCCAGCATAATTTGGGATCCAAGAACAGAAGGGGGGAATTTAATATTGTAATGTATTTGTTGTTGTGCTTGTCTTGCTATGCTGCCAACATTGGGAAAGAATTTTATTGTCAGCTAGATTATTTAGTGACTTTGGGACTGGGGCAAATGACTTCTCCAAGCTGAAATGTCCTCCTACATGAAACAGAGTTATTGGGAAATGAGCATATTCAGTTTGTTGATATTTATCTGAATGTTAGGAAAAGCATAGGTAATGCAAGTTGTAACATTTTAAAAATGTTATTGATTGATTAATTTGAGAGAGAGAGAGAGAGAGAGAGAGAGAGAGAGAGAGAGAGAGAGAGAGAGAGGGAGAGAAATAGCAATTTGTTGTCGCATCCACTCATCTATCACTGGCTGATTCCTATATGTCCCCTGACTGAGGATTGAACTCGTAACCCTGCTGCAACCAGATGATGCTCCAATCAACTGACAGCCAGAGCTCAAATTGTAAAACTTTACTGCCCTGAGAGAAATACTAAGATTTAGAAACGTCAGGACATAGTGTAACTTAAAAGCAAAGGATGGGGGCTGGGGGGAATCACCATGGCCTTTTCCAGATATATTTCTTAGATAGCACCTAAGCCCACTTACTTATCAGACATTTGTTTACCGTCTGCCTCTGTTTCTGAGTCATGGTAACATCTAAGAAGCTTACAAAAATACTTACCAAAATCGGTGGGACATAATGCGACACTTTAGATCCCAATGACAGCTACCTCTAACTACGAGTGACACAAAATAAATTATGTTTGAACTGGATTTTTCAGCTGCAGATCTTTATTCTGCCACCCAGACGGCCCTATAAAGTTGCACTTGTGGCCTTAATCCCACTTGGATGTGTGCCCCGCTGCCTCTACTCTCCATCATTCGGGTGCTTTCGTCTTCTTGAATCAGTGAACAATCTTTGTTTCTGTACCTTATTAGGCCAAAGACCATAGCAGCCAGTGATGGCATCGGCAAGCCCCGCGGGCAAGGATTCTCCGCAGACCCGGCCAACCTCCAACAAACCCCTTTTTATGCTCCTGTTTCTAGGAAGAATTATGATGGCGGTGCCCTGCTGTTGATCAGTCAGATCTGTGGTAGGCCCAGAGATAAGTCCTGTAAGTGTGGTGTACTGTAAAACAGCGGCTCCCATTCATTAGGAGCTTGTGTGTAATAAACCACCAAAAGGGGGAGGGGGGGAGCGGGGAGGCAGCTGCAGTGTGCGAGGGCAAACAAGGCGTCTCATTCTTGGGAGCCAAAACTTTTGTAATTTGCTCTTGGGCAGCCTGCTCGTGCTGACATTCTTCCTGATAAACAGAGTGGTGGCCTATCTATATTTATCGCTGGACTACTAAACCCAAGAGATGGTAATGGGTAACTATGTATATACTTATCACAACAGCTTTGTTATGAAGGAAGAGGTGAAAGACACTAGCAAAGGGCTGGCAAACAGAATTGCTGGGTTAAAAATGCTGTTTTTCCTCTGCCAGCAGTTAACCTGACAATAATTGATGCTAGCCACTGCCGTACAGTATATACTGGCTGTATAAGGACGGCACTTCCAAAGATACCAGCTAACATTCACACGGTGTTTCTTTTGTAGTATATTTTCTAGCCATAAAAGTGTTCATTGAATAGAAAGGTATGGGGTGGGGGAAAAGCTTGTCTTTTTTTTTTTTTTTTTTTTAAATTAAAAGTAGGAACAAGCCGAAACCGGTTTGGTTCAGTGGATAGAGCGTCGGCCTGCGGACTGAAGGGTCCTGGGTTTGATTCCAGTCAAGGGCATTTACCTTGGTGGCAGGCACATCCCCAGTGGGGGGTGTGCAGGAGGCAGCTGATCGATGTTTCTCTCTCATCAACGTTTCTAACTCTCTATCCCTCTCAATTCCTCTCTGTGTAAAATCAATAAAATAAAATAAAATATTAAAAAATGTCTCTCTTTAAAATAAAAAAAAGTAGGAACGAAATCTCATTGTTTGGCTATCAGGTATGTAAGAAACACTACTTTGAAATTAGTACTGCAGGTTATGCATCTTCCCAAAACCAAATGTGGAAGGCAATTTAATCATGAAAAGAAGACCATATACCTGTGTTGGAGGACTGGGGGGAATCTCAATAAGCCCTTTTAAGTCAGGATGGGTAAACCTAATAAAAGGGAAACACTTGAATTTCTCAGGACTATGTAATGAGATGGGGAAAAAAAAGTTGCAATTTCTGTAATAAACTCTTTCTCTTTACACCCAAAGCAGGTGCATGGCATTGTGATCCCAACACCCTACTCACTCCTCATCAGCCCCCTGCCACTCTTCCCAGTGGGAATGGAATACTGGACATTCTAGGCATTTTTCCTTCCCCTCTCAGGGTCAGGAGAGGGGCTGTGGCAACGTGGAAGGCCTGCCAGTTGTTTTGGAATTCCTGCAGGTGTTTAAAAAGTGAAGGGTTCTTTAGGGAGGCACATCTGCATTTGTCATGTGCCACTGGTGCTAAAGCCTGTGGTGTTTTTGTTTGCTGGTTTGACAGATTGACATGTAATGGCCGGGGCCCTGGAGCGGCTGCTCCCAGCAAAGTCACTCTGATCGCTGGAGTTCTCCAGAAATCAGCTGGCCTGAATTCGCCCTGATTTTTCTCCGCCCTTCAAAGGAGAAGGCACTGTTCTAATGTTCCTTTCGGCTTTCACAATCTTTTCCTTTTTGTTGCATTGTTTTAAACTCTGAGTTAAGACGAAACAGGAACTTTGATAGGTTCATGACATCTACAAAGAGTTTTCAAAACCAACCAGCCCTTCACATGTACTTAGAAGTGGCTAAAGAGATTGATGGCACTAGCATAAATATTGGGATATCATAAAATTCAAAACTGGAGAACCTAACTGTGTCAGCGATGAATGGGGGAACAGGACTAGAGGCAAAAACTGCAACATTAAAACTTTTTCATACTTTTAAACACTTGAAGTAAAACTCTCGTTTTAAGTTATTTTTGAAATCTCTTTTTTTCTTTTTCATCTCAGAATTTATATGTAAGCTTGTATCTTATCAACCCTGTTACCACAAGTAAATATGTGTGAAAGCAAATCTTAGTATGGTGTCTTTTGTTGACAAAGTGAAATCGGAAATCTTTATTAATGTTCTCCATAAATAGGGAGCTTCTCATGGAAGGGTTCAAAGCTCATGTTTCTAGTATTAACTTTATTGTCCATGTAACTTTCTGAATTTTATGGCACTGTGATAGGCCCCATCCTGTCCCCACATAACAAAGGAATATCGTGTGTTAATTAAGCAAATGCAAAATGTCGTACACATGTTCATTAATAGCATTCACTTCACATCAACCCAAACGTAAGTACTCCACTGACACACAGGTCTCCTGGCCACGTACCTTTCCTCACCTACATGTTGCCTCCCCACTGGAAGGGGCCATTCCTTTCCACAAAGCATCTCAGTCTGGGTGTCTTATTTGTCGGCGTATTATCAGCTCCACAGTCCATCTGCACCACCAGGTTTCCATGGAGCCCTGTGCTGGAGAAAGAGAAAAGGCAAAACAAAACTCCCTTCAGGCCCAGGAGTGGTCCTTCGGCACTGGCCACGGGAGCCCAGGAACAGCTCTGCCGTGGTGTGGGTGAGAGAACGTTAAAAGCAAAAGGCCACTTCCTAACTGTACAGTGGAAAAATGGCTGTTGTGTTTCCCTCTTCTAGTGACAAGTTATGTTCTAGATATTTAAGTTTTTAATAACATTTACTCGTTTTTAATGTGTTGATTTTTTTAGAGAGAGAGAGAGAGAGAAAGAAACTTGGATTTGTTGTTCCATTTATTCATGCCCTCATTCGTTGATTCTTGAATGTGCCCTGACTAGGGATCGAACCCACAACCTTCGTACCGGAACAACGCTCTAACCAACTGAACTACTTGGCTGGGGCCCTCATTTATTAATAATTTGTAAAAACCTTCTTAAATAACAATTCCTTCATGTTCCCTCAGTAGGACTTGAATGTACTCAGGTCTTTACTGTTTGTAGTTAATTTGCCAGATTTAGAAAGTAAAAGAAAGCATAAACAGGATGACCAGTTAAAGTTAAATTTTGGATAAACAACAACATTTTTAGTGTAATGTTGCATGGGATATACTTACACTAAAAAAAAAATCTCTATTCATCTGGTATTCAACTTTGTGTGTCCTATTTTATCAGGCAACTCTATTGGTAGCAGAGGTTGATTAATGGCCAATTCATGATCAGAAGCCCCATGGTCTGAAGGGATTAATCTTTTTTATTGTTTTATTTTCCTAGGGTGGGTTCACAAAGATTATCTACTTAGAGTGATGTAGTTAATGATAGTAACTATGATGATTGAGCACCTGTCCAAATACACAGCCACCGGAGGACACGGAGGATGCTATCCCCATTTTGCAAATGAGAAAACTGAGGCCCAGAAACAATGAACAATTCTTCCTGAGTTAGACAGATCACAAGAGCATGAGCTGGGGTGGGAAACCAGGTCTACAGAGTCCAGAGTTGGGGCCCTTCCTCTTAGCTGCACTGGCTTGTGAAACATGAAGGGTCATTAACATCACAAGTGCTGTAATCCGCTGATTGCAGCTCATATAAAACAGTGTCCTATTGCCAGTCACCTTTGAGTGTGTATGGGTACTCCTTTTCTTGCCAGCCCCAAGAGCCATGTCAGTGTCTCACACTGTTTGGTCTCCTCCCTTCGACAGCCATCACATAGGTTACAATATCACTTTACAGTAATGTCACATTATTATAGAAGATTACCCGAAGTTTGTCTTTGGACTGAACCAAGTGTGCTTTCATTATTATTCAGCTGTGAAGCATGTTGTCACAATAGCCCTCAGCTGCTACACAAGCCCTGACTCCATTTTTTTTCACTCTGCATAATGTGCGTTGCACTTCCACAGTTTTATTTGCTTTGCTAGTGTGAACCACCACTCACCAAACTCCAACAGCAGCATTTCCTTGCCGGTACACCAAAATAAAAACAACTATGGCTTCCATGGCTTACCCTTCCTTGCTGTCGGTCAGGCCACAAAGTACTGAATTCTGGGCTCTTCTCTCTCTGGAAAGACTTCAACCCCTGGTTTACCTTTGCCTGCGGCGCCCTGTCTGATGGAAATACTATTCCACAATGGCTCCTCCCCCTGGTCCTTCTATGGTTCTTTGATATTACTTAGAAGGTGATTACACAGCTTAATTCATTTCTTTGAATGCACAGGTTTCATGGTCATTAAAACAATCACAGACTCATCAGTTCTCCCCAGGCTTAAATAAGATCAATACAAACCAGAACAGGCGGCTTCTCCTCTCCTCTGCTCACCAGATTTCTCGTTTCCTTCTCTCTGTCACCCCCCTTTCTCCCTCTACTTCTCTCATTCCTTCCCCTCTATCCCACCCTCAAACATGGTACGGAAAAAGAGCACAGTCATTTTTTTTTTTATTAATTTTTACAGTTCTTTCTGTAATAATTCCTAAGATTTACTCTGCCGTTATCCCAGACTTAGAGCAGTGTTTGCCTTTATACAAACTGTCAGAGGCAGCTGTAGCAAGTTTGGTGTTTACTAGAGGGGAGGAGAAAAAAAGAAAAAGAAAAGAAAAGCCTGCTGGCCCAGCCTCCAAAACCAGTTCAGCGGCGAAACGGTTAATAAGAGGAGTAAAGGCTATTTTTAAGTCTGGCTCCCCTCTCTGAGGCACTCCTGAAAACTCACCCCTGTACTGCAGAAATCCTAAATTGCAGCGCCCTGCACCCCACTGGAAGTCTTCAGTCTGCTGTAAGTAAGCCTCAGCATGGGCAAGATTGGGGGTGAACAGCTGGAGGAGGGGCTCAAGCCCTGCGCCTTTGTGATGGAGGGGCGAAACACCGGGGTCCTGTGGAGAAGGAACACAGAAGCCCTCAAGGCGCGGAGAAATAGACCCAGACAAAAGCCCGTTACATGGTTGCAAATCACCCCACTGCTGTTATTTTATTTACCGTGATCTGCAGGAGGATTGTTTTCTCTCTGCAAAATTTTTAAGCTTCCTGGGCTTTTTCTCCTCCACAACAGCGGTCACTTATACCACAGTGCCACACAGAGACAGCCCTCACCTTCAGCTTTCTTAGGGGAAGGGGAGAAAACACACAAACCTGCTTAGTCAGGATGCAACAGACAGGAAGGACATCGGTGAATTTCCAGGCACAAAAAGATGGAAGTACTGTGTATTTTAAATATGACTCCAATGGCTCCACACCCATTTATTCCATATTTTTCTGGCTTTAATTATTATTATTATTATTGTTGTTGTTGTTGTTTTTACAGATGACACCTACCTACATGCTTTGGGGCCTGGATTTATTTAGATGTGGGAAGGAAAGAAAGAGCAACACAAGTTTTGTACTGAATCCATTGGAGACATATAAATAAATAAATAAACATCCTTCCTCAGTCATAATCCCCGCCCGTCCCCCCCCCCCCCCCCCGTCCCCCCCAGTTTCAAAACTGATGGATATATCACCCTATCACTATGGCAAGACATAATGCTGTGAGTTGGAGGGTTTTCTGTCGGAGGGGTAAGAGAGGGGGGAAGGCTCACAGAAACAGCTCTTTTAAAACCTGAAGGGAAGGTACTGCCTGCAAGTCTCTCTGGTACAAGTTTCTCCTGGTGTTTGCACAAGAGGGACCCTTGCCTCGCTGCGAGGAAGGGAGAGAGGCCTGTGGAGGGAAGAGCAACTCCCTCCTCCAAGGCAGCCTGTGGCTCAGGTTGGTAACCGTCTCAGGCGCTGCAGCTCCGCCTTGGGGGGCCGAGGAGGGAGCGTCCCTGTAACCAGGGCGGCGCAAGGCTCTCCTGGTCACCGCGAGGAAGCTGAAAGGGCAGCTCGCAACGAGTGAGCTCCCTGTAAGAAAAACTAAAAAGTGAAATTGTCTAGGACAAATCCGCGGGAGGTAGGCGCAAGGTGTTTGCGCGGGTCATTAGCACCCAAACCAGGCTTCAGGAAATAGTTCTGGTCCCCTCCGATGGAGAATATATAATGAGCTGAAGAGCTTGATTTTCAACGGATGATTGACCCCGGACAATAGCCCCCACAGAACCGGGTAAAGAGTTTACAAATGGTAACTGGAGAGGCAGTGGGCTTTTCCCCCCTCCCCCCCCTCCTCCCCTCCGAGCTTACTTCGGTCCCCTCCTGAGACCCCGGTCCTTCTCTGCAACCCCTCTCCTTTCATCACTTCCACAAAATGCACACATACTTGAAAAACTGAACTTAGTCCTTAAGAAAGAAAAAAAGATTCTGTCAAAGAAGCATAAGGAAGGTGCAGGGAAAGGAAGTAAAACGTCCCGTAGGCACCTAGGCCTTACTCCTGGGATGTTTCAGGCTGAAACTTTCGTGTGTGTTTAGGTTTCCTGGCAGAGGTTCATTGTGGAGTCATCTCCTCACGGGAGTTTCTCGTGCTGGTAACAAGCAATGATGAAACCCTTACCCGTTTTTTGTCAGTCGTCTGGAGAAGGCTAACCACATGGAGAACTCGAGATGACCAGATAAAAAAATAGTCTGACATTGCTCAATTGGCAACTTTACGTAATTTTGTTGATTTAAGAAAGGCTCGGTACCTGGAGGCACTATGGTTGGCTACCCTGCAAGCATTATTATTTCTAGGAAGCTAATATCCTATGTGCCATAGTAACTCTGGTAACCAAATGAAGAATCAAAATTAACATTCACCTGCTGAGCCTCTTGTAAGATGAGTGTTGCTGTGTCATAATCTAAAATGTTTGCATGGTTCGTATTTTGCTCACATACAGGGAAGGCCCTCTCACACTGCACCCCACCCCCAATTGCCTTGGGTACACATTTAAAACTAAAAGGGACTTATATACTATTTTGCAGAATAGAAAATAGCTTCAGAAAGTTCAAATAATCGTCTAATGCCACTAGTGTCAGAGTTTGGACCAAAACCAAGATTTCCTAATTTCTCATTTTGGCTGTTCCTCTCCCCCCCTCCCTTATCCCACAGTGCATTAGACCATCTTCTTATGCGGTTAATAATATATGAGAGCTGCCTCAGAATGCCAGTTTCTACTGAGGCATGCTCTCTGTCATTAAGTGCTCCAGCAAACTGTTAATTAAGATTGTTTTGAGCTGTTTACCAATTTAGGTGATGTCAGATACTTCTCTTGGATTCTGTCAGCCTCTTGGGATGGCAGGACATTCTGTTGATTCTGTTGCCTGTGGCTTGACCATCTGTTCTGAATCAGGATTGTGCTGCCATTTGGAAATCCATAATCTGACACCGTTACCAGAATTGTACGTTTAAAATGCATTAAGTTCTTTGTGGGTCACCAGCCCTTCATAAGCTCCCGTTCATTTTATAGGCTGTCCACAGAGAGCACTTAATTTGGGAATTGAAAGGTACAGGTTGAAAGACTGAAGCAGTCCCACTCCTGTTTTCTCCCCCCAGGCGGTATAGAAGCTGTTTTGTTACAACGATGTGAGATGGAAAATAAAACACTGGAAAGTGCAGTGTGAGGACTAACCACGGAACAGTCGAGAAGGATTGGGAGTAGGAATGAAATCATAGGGTTTTCTAGTCATCCTTACCTAGTTTCCCTCAGGGCACATCCAGGAAATGATTGGCACGACTCAGTGTACATAGGACTACAGAAGACCTTGTGGGAAGACATATTCTGTCCTAAGATAAATATTTACTTTAAAAAAAATGTGTTTGTCATGCTTTGCACTTTCCAGAGTTACTTTTTATTTTTTTATTTTATTGTTTAAAGTATTACAAATAGTAGTGAATTTATCTCCATTTTTTTCCCCATTGACCTCCCCTGGCCTCCCTTACAGAGTTGATTTTTAGTACCGTAATGTCCCTACTATCCTTTAGGCTATATGTCCCTACAGGCTCATTTTATTTATTTTTTAATATTGAGTTAGTCAACAAACTCAGTAAGTACTCTGTCAATGTTTGCCATCACTACTCATTCGTTTATGTGTCATTCATTGAGTGCGGGTTCTAGCTAAAGGTGAAGGTCATGGGTCCTACCCACAGGGAGTTTTTAGTCACCTGAAGGAATCAGATAAGTAAACTGGTCATTACAGAGAGATAACTGTAAACTTACGTAGTCGATGTTGTGGGAATAGTGAGGAGGGTAAACAGATCTCCTGGGCCCACCCTAATCTACTAAATCCCAACCACGTGAGGTGATGTGGCCTAGAAATCTGTATTTTCCAGAAGCTCCACAGGCAATTCCAAAGTGGCCCCCCGAGGTGTTTGTCTAATCTGGTCTGGAAGAAATTTCTGGGAAATGGATACTGAAGTTGGAAGTGGGAAGAAGGAAGGGTATCTTAGGTTAAGAGAAAATTGAAGAAAGGTGTGATAGAGCCTGTCCTGTTCGCAGAGGTGCAGACAGATGGCTCTGGTTGGAGTGAAGGCCCTGTGGAAAAGGGTTATCCTACAGGGGGAGTGACCATGTGTGCCATTACGCAAACCAGAACACTTCTGAGAGTGAAAGGCAGTGCTCTAAACCGTGATGCAGGGGAACAGGTATCTTCCATGGGAGATGATGCTAGGGGCCTGCAGAGCTCTGAAGAGATGCCGAGGTCCTTCAGCGTGGAGCTGTTACTTAACCTCTTTGCGTCTGTTTCCTTATCTGTAAAATGGTTACAGTGCAGCCAGTCTCAGGGCTTGGATAAGGCTTACATAAAAGACATTCGTGAAGCTCTTTGCCAGTAGATTGCAGATGTGCAATACACACTAGACTTCCTTTCTCTTGCAAAAAAAATGTTGTTGGAGTGTTAGAGTTAGGAGAACAAGGTTAAGGTTGAGATACGAGGATTCCCTCACCCTCTCTCCTCAAGGAGCCCACACTCTACCAACTGTAGGACTCAGAAAATAGGAATGAGGTAAAGACTACGTCATGTGAAGCCTTGTAAAGCCATGCTATAGAGTTAGGACTGGCCTGATCAAAAAGAGATTTGAGGTCTTCTTTCTGTTTCTTCTGCTCACCAAGCTTGTTGCTACCCCAGAGCCTTTGCACTTCCTCATTCCTCTGCTTGAAACATTTGAATCTTAGATGGTCACTTGGCTCACTCCCTCACTGCATTCAGTGCTACTCCTTCAAAAAGGCAGTCTTTATCTGAATTAATTAAAATACTATCTCTCCAACTACTAGTCACTCTTCAACCTCCTAACCCCAAATCTTGATTGGATTTTTTGGTCAACACTTACAAATAACTGATATTATATTACACTAGAGGTCTGGTGCACAAAATTCATGCACAGGGGCAGGAGGATGTCTCTCAGCCCAGCCTGTGCCCTCTCCAATCTGGGACCCCTCAAGGGATATCTGACAATTAGACATCCCTCTCACAATCCAGGACAGCTGGCTCCCAACTGCTTGCCTGCCTGCCTTCCTGTTTGCCTCTAATTGCTTCTGCCTGCCTGCCAGCCTGATCACCCCCTAACCACTCCCGTGCTAGACTGATTGATGTCTAACTGCTCCCCTGCCAGCCTGTTTGCCCCCAACTTCCCTCCTCTGCCGTCCTGGTCACCCCTAACTGCCCTCCCCTGAAGGCTTGATCGCCCCCAACTGCCTTTCCTTTCAGGTCTGGTCCCTCTCAACTGCCCTCCTTACAGGCCTGGTGCCTCCCAACTGCCCTCTCCTGCTGGCCATCTGTGGTGGCTATCTTGTATCCACATGGGGGTAGGATCTTGGACCACATGAGGGCAGCCATATTGTGTGTTGGAGTGATGGTTAATTTGCATATTACTCTTTTATTAGATAGGATAGAGGC